TTGTGGCGCGACAGGGAGTGGGCAAGACCGAGTCTGGTCGCGGCTTCCTCAGAGGGAAGAAGGTCGGGAAGGAGCGAGGTGAGGTTTTCGCGGATGGCACGGAATACATCTTGGGTAGAAGAGTCTGATACGGTCTTGAGGGAGAGACCGGGGAGTTGCGCAATCGAGTTGGAGAGCTTGGGGTCGGCGACGGCCACTTGAAGGTGTTAGCTGCTATGTTCACTGCGCAATCTCAGGAAGTTCGTACAGGTAGCCTTGGTCTCATCCTTCAGGTCCTCCAAAAGCGACGACAGCATAGGCGTGACTTTTCCATCGTGGAGCGCGGCGGCCTGTTCGAGAGCGTCTACTGCGCTGCCGAACTTGGCGAACTTCTTGAGCTTGAGCTCCTCGACAATGCTAGAGGAGTTCTTGTTCTCTCCGCTGAGAAGCTTCTTGTCCTTGGACTTCAGCAGGACGTAACCCGCCGAAGTCTCCGAGAGGATAAAAAGACCCATTTTGCTGATTTCGGTCGTGGGGTAGGTCCAATGGCGATCGCGAAACGCAGCTACCCTCCGTGGTGAATTTGGACGTGGTGTGGGAAGTCGCGATGGGAGTTGTCGCAAGCTCGAGCAGTGCGCTTTCCAGCTAGAACTTTTTCCTGCGCTCGGGCCAGCCTGCCAACGCTAACCCTGGAACACACAAGCTTGCTTTCTGGCAGCTAGTGACGAACGCCAGGCACATGCAGGCGAAAGCAACCCGCGGCCATTGAGCTTACAGTATAATGATTTATTAATTCATCTAAGAGCACCCCCGCCATGTCATCCGGCGGCGAGCGAAAGGTCTCGGGCTCCCTCAACCGCAGCACCCGGGGCGCGACTCCACGCCTCGCCGATCTGGGAGAGTCACCGCGGACACCGCTCCTACGATCCATCTCGTCCACCTTCGGCTCGCCTGGTGGCTCCTTCCGCACCGAAGACGAGTACGTCGTGATAGAAGTCGGCTCGCGATTTGTACGCGGCGGCTTTCCCGGCGAAAGTGCCCCGCGATGCACCCTCCCGTTCGGGCCCGACGACCAGCGGAGGGTGGGCGACTATCGGCAATGGGATCCCGAGTATTCACAGAAGAGAAGAAAGCGGAAGCGGGACCAGGACTGGGGCCAAGAACATGAGCTCTACCGTATGGATCTGAGCAAGGTTGACATGGGCCTGGTGGAAGACAAGTTTGAGCGGGCTATGAGGGAGGCATACGGCAAATACTTTCTGCTGGACACGAAGCCACGGCGGGTACTGCTTGCCATGCCGCCGCGTATGCCGCATGCACTCATGTCGACCATCCTCGATGTGCTCTTCACAAGCTTCCAGGCTCCGAGCATCACTCTCATGTCAACACCGGTGCTGTCGACAGTGGCCGCAGGACTACGCTCAGCGCTGGTCGTGGACATAGGCTGGGCGGAAACACTTGTGACTGCGGTATGCGAATACCGCGAGGTCTCTGAAAGACGCAGTGTTCGTGCAGGCAAGCTGCTGAGCGAAGAGATGGCCAAGCTGCTGAACGCCGAACTCGACGACGCTGAGCCGAGCGCTACCAAGGCAGACGTGTCTTTCGAAGAAGCAGAGGAAGTCCTCACACGTGTCGGATGGTGCAAGCCCGTCCCCCGATCGAACCGACGAACCGTATACTTTCCCGCGCGAGAAGCTCCTGTACTCGAGGAGTTCGAAGACGCTATCGAATCACCGCCGCCTGCCGTCACCATACCCTTCCCGAAGCACACACCACCTACCGAACTCACGATATCATTCGCGTCGCTAGCCAAGCCCACCGAGAACGCTCTCTTTGCCCCCGAGTTGGCCATGCACGAGTTCGACGACGAAGACCTCCCAATACATCACCTCATATACCGCGCACTCGTACAACTCCCCATAGACGTTCGCCGGCTATGCATGTCGCGCATCGTGATAACAGGCGGCGTATCAAACCTACCCGGCCTCAAGACGCGCATACAGAAAGAGCTGGACGCTCTGGTACAACTCAAGGGCTGGGACCCGGTGAAGAGCTACGGCAGAGCAAGCGCACGTCGCGAAGAGAAGATGCGCAACCAAAAGGAGGACGTGGAGACGCGCCGACAGGAAGGCGAAGATACGTTCCCCTCGTCACTCGATACCGATGCGGAGCCTGCCCCCATACCCGCAGCGCTTCAATCGCCCACCGAAGACCCTATAGATACCAAGTTCGCCCAGATGGCCATACGGCATGGCCCACCGCCTGCTAGCTTGATTGGCGGCACGATCAGAGTTGTGGATACACTGGGCCCGTGGGCAGGTGCGAGTCTGATAGCACAGCAGCGCATCAAGGGTATCGTGGAAGTCGAGCGCGAAAAGTATCTCAAAGACGGTCTGCAAGGCGCCACGCGGGAGAAGGAGGTTTCTGTCATTGCGCAGAGGCAGAGCATGGGTCCTGGTCTGTCCAACAAAGGTGGTGAGAGGGCCAGCTGGACTTTGGGTGTATGGGCGTGAGGCGCGTGCGTATTGTCATTGAGCATGTTATTCCCTTTTGATACCCCTCGAACTTCGTCTACACTACTTGCAATTATGTCCGATCCATCGTCGTCATTGAAGGAAGCTATCACCATGCACATGCCCCCATGACATGAACGTTCGCCGTCAGGAGCGTCAAACCTTCAAGGGTGACTTAAGAAGACTGGTTCTCAGTCCGCAGCCACCCACTCTACTTTGTCTCAGCCGCATCATATCCTCCAGCCAAGATTGACGAACTCCAACTTCGACAGACATTCATTCGATCACATAGTCAAAACAGCCTATCGATTGGTCGCAGCGCTCGAGTCGTTTCTGGCATACTTAGATGCTCAGATGCAGACACGCGATACGGCCAGTAGCAGCATGCCACCTACTCAGACGCTTTGTACTTTCTCCTGCCCAAGGTATTTGGACGACTCACAGGCTCGGCTGGTAAGGCAATAAGGCAACCAGACACCTCAGCAAGTCCGCAAGTCCGCAAGTCCGCAAATGCGCATGTGGGCAAGCCTGCATTCCTGCAAGCCAGCTGCACATTAAGCGGCATACGCACCAATAAGGCGGCTCACTATCCTGGCTAAAAGGCCGCCCATTCCCCTCAAAGCAAGTCCTTCGGGTCATCACAGAGTCCTCCCAAAGTTTCGTACGCTTGCAGAGTCATGGACGGCCAAATGCCGGAAGGTCCTCCAGACTTCCCTGACGATTTCTTTGGGAACGCTGACTACCCCGAGGTCCCTCACGACAACGATCTTGCCGTAAGTAATGCCTTCCGCGTGCGACGCGTGTCATTTGTCGCTCTCTCGATTGCAATGCTAACCGCTCTCTTCAGCAGCTTCGCCCGGCGATATCTTGTTTAGAAAGTGGTGTCGGAATCGAAGTGTGGTCTTTAGAAAAAGCATGGCCTGGGATATGTAACGAGCTACAGTGGTTTGATACCTGGAATCCTGGCATCGTTCATCCGGCGACAATAGCATCCGTAACCGCCATGTCGACTGGGGAAGAAAATGGCGACCGAAAGCTTGACTGCCCTGTCTTTGTCGCGGAATCTCGACATGGCTGGCCACGAACTTGTAACAACGTCAAGAGCCCCAACATGGCAGATTTACGGCGCCACTTGACAAAAAGACCCGGCCGCGGATACGAAACCCAGTTGCCTTTCTTGGAACTATGTTCCACTTGCAACGAAGACTTTATCGAAAAAGATACGTTCGAGACCAGGCATGGTTACAAAGGAGAGCTTTGCAATAGCCGGAGACCTCAGCGCAAAGGGGAGAAGGTGAAGACGCAGTGGGAATTGTTGTACCGACAGGTAGAAAGGGAGCTGGCTGTCCAGCATCTGTCAACACGTAAGCAATCATTATTTCCCATCTATGTGTTCCGAACTGATATTGTGTTTCAAGAGCAAACCAGCCCTGACTCTGTACCATTGCAACCTCTTCCTACACCACAAGACATCGCTTTCCACGACGGACGCGACGAAAATGACGCAAACAATGCACACGTTCCCCAATATTTAAACGGTCCAATGGAAATTGCTGCGGCGCAGCCTTTAGATGTTCACCAAGACCGTGTCTTGCCTTATGCGACACCATACCAGCTGATTTTCGACTCCGATTCTGACAAAGGAGACACGCCAAGAGAAACAGATCACGTAAGTTCATGATTCAACACTATACATTCCTCCCTAACTGAGATCGCTAGTAGACATCGCCGTCCTCCCAGAATGAAGTAGAAATGCAAGCGACAAGCCTCATGTCCATCCTTGAGTCCAATCCTCCACAGCCTCCATGGTCACCTTTTTACAGTCCTGGCAAATCGCCGTATTCGACACATGACAATACGCGATGTGACACTCGGATAGGCCAAAGTGATTCTTCGACGCCACACAACCTGAACCATGTCCCTATCGCAACAGATATTCCGGATGAAGACGGGGGTATCAACGAGAGTTCCTCTACTGTGAGAGGTTTCAGTCAATGGGATCTTGGGTTTAGTGTACCAATGGCTCGGAGCCGCTCGACACGGTCCTCTGTCAGTAATGCTTCGTCATCTGGGCCTCCTGTGTTCACACCAGAGGTAATGTGCTGCGATGTTGGAAATTGTCGCCAAGCTTTTACTGGCCAATACCGTCGTGGAAACTTTGGGCGGCACAAGAGACAAAAGCATCGTGAGGGTCCGGCGTACGTGTGCGAAGACGATACATGTGCAAAGGAGTTCCAACGGAAAGATGCCCGACTTAAGCACTATAGGAGAAACCATCCTGAACTGGCAGTTGATAGTCCATTGGTGCGCCGCAGTGGTGCGAGTCGTTCAGCAAGACGGAATCTGGAAGTTGAATTTTCCAGTATGTCTGACTGGGCTTCCTAACGACGGACGCCCTACTACTGCTTCGCCGGCATACGAATACGTTAACTGTACATTACTATATATACCATAGATTTCGATTATATTCCATGCAACTCATCTTCCCCGGGCAGATCCTTCACAGCTTCATATACTCAATTGCTTTATCATGTCTTCAAGCTCGCACACAACATCGTTATACACCGCTGCTCGTAGATCATCCTTGCCGAGATCGGTACCAACTCCGAAGTTGCATTGTAAGCACTTCTTCGCGATCCTCTGATATACAGGCCCTAAGGGTGCTCGCCCAGATGCCAGGCGGCGAGCGGTGTAGATTTGATTGTTGTCATCTTTGCCTGTCATGTTCTTCTCTATAGGTTTCCAGTGCGCAATCTCGAGAAGCGCGACGCCGAGAAAGAAGAGTGGAAGACTGTTGATACCGTCTTTGATCTCGTGGCTCGTTTCAGCTGTGGATTTTATACCTTCCATGGCTATAGCAGCAGGTTGTCTGGGTGCTGTGATGCGCGAACTGAGGTGGAGTGTCTCCAGTGACGTCTCGTTGAAGTTTGTGTAGTTTCCAAAGTAGCTGAGTTGATGCAGGCGCCAACTCTGCCACTCTTCCGATAGCCAGGGTGTATTACCGTACTGAAGGATTGCAAGGGCAGCCTTATGCGCAAGCTTCAGCTGGTCTTCGACTGATATTGAATCATCGACATCTTGCTGCATGACGTCGAACACTGAGTGGACTGTGTTGTATTTTGGTCTTTTTGGTTTTTCGTGTCGAGCGAAGAACATGTGCTTGTAGGAATCTGGTGTTTCCAGATAGCCAACACATCTCTTAGCCAGCGATGCGTCGCACATCATAGATGTCTGCTTGAGATAGTTGCAGATGCTCGTCTGCAGACACAGATTGAGTGCGAGTGTGATGGGTGATGTCGAGTCAACCATTGGAGACTGTGTAGCGCTAGATCCCGTGGTTGAAGCATTCTTGCCCGGCGCCTGTTTCGCCTTCTTCCCGTTTGATGATGGCTTGGTAAGCTCAGAAGATGCCTTATGCTTCAGTCGATTCGCAGATCCTGGAGGCGGAAGGGCCGAAGATACGGAAGCCTTAAGGGTTGAGAAAGAGGATGGCGTCGTGGTCAAGCTATTGTTGGACGTCGTGGTCATAGACTGCACATAAAGCCAGATTGGGGGTTCCTGAGCTGACCTATTTGATGGTCAGAAAAGTTACCTGGATGGAGAATGTGACTTACGTATCGCTCGCGTCTCTTGAGATCTCATGGCATGAGATGGCTATGTTAAGGCAGACCTCACTCTGGACCTCCGCATCTAAACATAGCTTAGCGTGGTGTCCACGATGAGCTGGCTCGTCGCAGCACCAGGAACTGCAGAGCGCATCATGGAGCTTATGCGAAGCACTTCGAATAGCCTGAATGTGACGTGGAATTGCTTTGTGACGGACCAACGCATCAGATGCGCGTGCGCCCTGTCGGAAGGCAGCGATCTGCTCCCTCAGCGCTTTAAGCTCGCCATTGCGCGCGCGTAGCTTGTCAAGAGTTCTCTCATGTGCAGACTTATCGAAGGTTATTGCGACCGCCCCACGTAGACGTCTGATGGCAGATTTGAGCTTCTCATTCTGGGGGTGGTCAGCACAAACGCTTCGGAAGGGAAGAGGAGCGGGGCGAGGCACGGACATCATGTTTCTGTTCGCGCAACACGTTGAACCTCTTCATCTCCTCCTCCAGAGGCTTTACGATATGGCTCGTTGCCACGATGATACTGCAGCAAAGCTCTAGGCTATCTTCGAGCACAACAAGCAATCTCTTTTCGAGCTCTGCACTCGTCCACCGCTTGTCGTCCCGGTTTCTAATCATGTTCTTCGCAGCCTCCGCATCCACTGCCTCTTGCAATATTAAGCGACACTCATTAAAGAAAATGTCTCTCTGTATTCTCAGCTCAAAAGATATGGCGGAAACCTCACTTCCCCAATGCCTGAAAGTGTGTAAGCTGTCGTGCACATTGGAGTAAGAACGGACGGTTTCGAAGAGTAGGGGCAAAACGGCCAAAGCTAAGCCAGCAACTTCGACTCCAGTCATTGAATAAATTGTCGAGAAGAGCGATCATCAATCAAAGACTCGGCACGGGGATGTCCTAGATTTTTCTCTTGGTTGAGCTGAAAGTATGCCAAGCCAAAGTGCGCCGAGCTGACAGCCCCAGAGTACGCCTCGTCTCAGCCGTCAATATGCATGCAGGCCCCGCAGTGTGATCTAGTACATGGTTGTCTGCCTGCCTGCGTGTCTTATCCTGCGCCTCTAGCCTGTTCATGAGCCATCAGCACCCCCCCCCCTCCCGCTCTCAACACGAGGATGTCGAGCTTGTCAATATTCATCACTCATCTCGCATAGAGATGCACCTAAAGAAGGAACACGCGAGACGAAGCTCGATAGCAACATCGCAAATCGAACACAGCAGCAATACTGCGACAGCCCCAAATCAGGGTAAAGAACCAATCTCCTCACTGATTGAAGACACCAAATCTGAAATGGAATCTTGCGGTATCGGTCCAGATAGCAGTCTTCAGCCTGGTCAAAGTACTATTACAGGCATAAAGCAACAACAGACGGGAATAATAGCCCGACTTTGTCGGTTCGCATTGGAGTCTCTGGCCTTTTTAATCCAATCATCCGTGCTCACGACTACGGCAAAGGACAAGAGAATTTTACGACGTTGTCATGCGACTCTCAAGCTCTGGACGGACGGGCATCACATCTGGGCTGGCGAGCTGGATAGTGCTTTGGAAGGTTCAGAGAATCTGAAACATACGACTTTGTCTGTGCTTCATTCTCTATGTGTACCTCTGCTGCTTGGTACGTTAAATTTAGGAGTTGCTGGAACACACGCTTACACACGGCTAGGCTTGAAGACGCATCTTGAGTCTTCTCCCGACGATGCCGTAGCAGCACAGCTGTTGCGCGCGACGGCCAATACTTGCAGATACGTTAGACTATGGTTGAGCAACTTCGATCGGCCAACGAGTGACACTGACAGTAGCGACGACGATGTGTACGAGGATGGTCATGGTGAAAATGAAACCAATGGATTGGCAGAGAAGATCAAGATGTATACGCACTGTCTGCTTGATCTCAGCGCAGCACTCGAATGTCCAGCCCCCGATGCTGAGCCAAACTACCGTAGCTTTACTGCAAATGAGCCTTTGGAGGCCCCAACGTCAATGAGCGTTACGGAACCAACGGGGGTTGCTACGCAAATGAGGCCAGCGCCACGACTCAAGGGCATGGTGCTAACTCTTATAGAATTTATGCGTTGGACAAGTGGCTTTTCATGTCCATTCCGACAGGCTCAGAAAAAGCTGGGTTTGCCGTATACATGTACAGCAAAGCCTGCGATTACAATGTCTGCTGTTCGGACACACTTGACTCGGGATCTACCAAAAGGAACGCCACCGCATCTTCCCTTTCTTAAGCTCTGCACTACATGCAACGAAGATATATTGGATGACGTTGAGTTCGAAACCCGGCATGGAGTAGATGGTATGAAGTGCGAGACTCCACGTCCACAGCGCAAAGGGGCTACTGGTCAACACGAGCAATACGATCTACTATGTTCGAAAGTTGAAGCTTATATCGCCGCTCAAAAAAACCAAAGAGGTATCTAAACTTCAAACCCAGCCTATAAGATACCAAAGCTGATACATTTCTTAGCACCAGCTGCAACTCATCTGGATATTGCACCCGGGCCTCCCATGACTTCACATGCTGAATATGAAGTTGCAAAAGAGCATTCTAGCTTATCCGACCGTGATCATTTGTCAATGCATTCAAAAATGGTCACAAAGGAAGTATGTATCTTCGTTCTTGCTGCTTATCGGTACTTTGACTGACCTTTGTAGTCATGGAATCCGAGACAAAATTATCGGCGCTCAGTTACCCAATGGACAAGCGATTCTGGAAAGGCAAACGACAGCGATTTTTCCGACTTTCGTCTAACGAGTGAGCAAGGTCCACTATCAACGCCCAATCATGAATGGGAGATACCTGAATTCCAGGTACCTGGTGGTTTTTTCGAAGCTTTAGAAGACGACGAACTGGGAAATGAACGTCATGATGGCACCTTGATTCCTGATATCGGAAGATCACGACACCTTTCAGAACCTGGAACAACAAAACGGCAGCCTGAAATTGGTCCTACATCAAGCTCCACTGTTCCGAAAAGTCTACCTTGCGATGTAGAGGGCTGTGACGCACGATTCTTCGTTGGCATGGACGAAGAGCTCGCTAGAAAGCACCACAACCATCGCTTTCATCAGAAGCTGCATTCAGATCAATCGCAAATACGGCGAAGCCACAGTCCTCGAGTGAAAGGCGGCAAGGATGGACATCTGAGCGAGACCGAAGATTTTTGGTGAATCCTCGCTGACATCCTGCTATTCTCTCATGTATCCTCTGTGTGGGCTGGGAGTACAAGACACCACATGCGTAGCTATTCATACTCCAATATATATCCTTGAGAACCGGTCTTTGCCACGTGAATAGTGTATGAGCGCACTATAGCAGCCCGTTATATTCACCCACGCAACGTCTATCTTTGCATTACCCTCCATAACACAGCCTTAGGTATCCTCCTCTCATCAAATGACCAACCCACAACATTCCCCCCTCCCACAATACCCATGTCCACACACCCCCTCCGTCCAAAACCACGTCATACACTCCACACCACCCGCATCCTGCACCGTACCGCAATGCCCACACTTCCAACCCGTCGGCACTCCACCACTAGCGCCTAGTTTGATTCTCGCGTCTTGTATTTGCTGTAAAACCAATTCTGTGTCATGTGGGTCAAAGTTGCGCTTGCGCTTTTGCGGAGGGGACGTGTTTGGTGAGGTGTTGGCGGATGAGCATGTAGATGATGATGCGGACGAGGATGGGGAGGCTGATGGTGAATGGATGGTTAGAGTAACGACTGGGATGGGGTTGTTATGCGTGTCCATGTTCTAGGCGTAATTTGTTGGCCGGTTGGAGATCAAGGGTGTAGAGTTGCATGGGCCGCCCAGGTGGGCTGTGGTGAGTGTAGCGGACAGACCAGAAGAGTGTAAGTGCTCAAAGAAACCCTTTTCTGTGTGACATCTAGTACGAGCGCCCACGTGAAAGTGATCGTGATGCGCCCAGTTTGGGTTTCACACGATATTGGGGTCAGAGTCATAATTCTTCTTGCACTCGTTGTGACTGCTGCGCGGACGATCGGGTGTGATCTGGGTCTCATGTAAAGATTTGATGAGCATGAAAATAGCGGGACTTGGGTGGGTGAAAGGGAGGGACGCTGACTGCAGGAAAATAGCACTTGGGACACCGATAGCAAGTCGGGTGTGAAGAGACACGAAAAACAAGGCGACCAATGTAGAGGCCCGCGAAGGAGACGCGAAAAGTCGACCGAGAGACGCGAAGAAACAACGGCCTGGTATCACTCTGTGCAACAACATCCAAATACCCATAAACATGACTCTTTAACGTAATTCATTCAGTACCATCCACCATCGGGAGGACCTTTCTATTCAACCATCCTAGTTCCTAACATTCCCCCTAATCTCATCATCCCCACCATGCGTGTGAACATACGTCTGATCCCTCTCCTCCGGCGCACCAACACCACCATGCGCAAAGTCACCCGCCTTGGTAGGCTGACCGTTCGCCTTGATGGAACCTCCCTCGTCAAGCGGGATCTCGCGGTTGTTGCCTGCGCCGGAGGCGGCAGAGCCGTATTTTACTTGGGCGCCGGGGAATTTGCCTTCGACGGCGGCGGTGTCGACGCCGGATTCGGTTGCTGGAGGGGGGTTAGTTGGGGTTTGGGATGGGTAGGAGGAAGGGAGGGAGGAAGGAGGTTTAATGGGGGAGGTTGGGGGTGATGGGATGGGAAAGGGAGAGGAAAGACGTACTGCTCAAACCAGCATTGTGGCCGTGAACAGCGCTCTGGCTGTTGAGGTCCTGCTCAGCCTTCTTGGCGATCTCGTTGACGTCGGTGTTCTTGTATTCGGCAGACATCTTTTCAAATATGTATCGTATGCGTAGCTCGTTGTTCTGAAGTGTGTATAGGTGAAAACGTGGAATTTGGGTATCAAAGAAGTTGAAAGTGTGTGTATATGTAATGGAGGGGTAACTTCAGGAGGGGCATTATAAACCTTTTGTATCACAAAGTGCTAGCTTCAGACCACAGACCTCATCGATGATGATGAAAGAGTGGTGGACCCTGATGACATCACAACGACCTCATAACAGCGGGCCGAGAATGCAGATTCCTTTCGCGATCTGGAAAAGTCTTGCCGATTAGTGAAAAGACTTATGAGCGGGAACCTGGAAATGCGGTAGGGGTTTTGGTTGATGGAAAGGTTTGCCGTTGTTGGTCGCATGCTGGGTGGGGTGGTGGTGGACATCCAGGTACCAAGCGTATGACGACAAAGATCGTGCAACACCGAACGCACGCGCCAAAACGGAAGAAATATCGTGGGCTGGCGAATAATGAACACCTATTGCAATCAGATCATCACGAGACGAGCGCGCACACAAGAAGAGAGAGACTTCCACCACCTCCCCTCCACCTCCCCTTCGGTAACGGTGGTCATGAAAGAAATATCGTAGGTCGGCAAACAATACTGCATTTGCAAACAGCTATGCACACCTAACT